CCCTACGCGAACTCTCAACGTTTAAAGGGCACCCTAGATATATTACTTCCCTCGACGTCAGCGACCGATTCTCAACGGGGAAGCCTCGGCACTTGTCGCCCAAGGGAACGGTCAATTCCTCGACCGTGGTGTAACAATATATAAAGACCAATTTTTAATTATTATGTTTTTATATGTATGGTCAACTATCTATTTAATATAGTTTTTAAATTAATATCTCAAAATTAAAATAATAATATTCACATGTGTATAAATATTGAGGTAGCCATTAAAACTACATGCTATTACACGTGCAAATGCAATACTATTTCGTTACTAATATTTTTTAAAATAAAAAATAGATTTTTATATCAGTATACAAGCAAACATAATAATATCGGTTTTCTTTAATTTTATATCAATTAATAATTAGGAAAACTCTAAAGTTATGTTTTTCTTTTGGAAGAATATGGTTACAGAAATAGTAAAATACGAAAATAGAAAATTTTGCAACATAGACGACATGAATACACTATTTATACGAATTTAGTTCGCTGATTCGAGTTTTTAATTTGAGTTGAGATGTGACTTTATGTGAGAGCTTTTTACTGCAGTAAAAAAGTTAGATGTGACTGTTTCTGAGAGTTTTTAATTGTAACAAAACTCAAATTCTCAACTCAAATCGGTGAAATTAAAGAGACTTTTATTTTTACTATGGCTGATCACTATATGTATTGTATTGCTTAGCCATATTGGATTAGAAAAAAGTGGATTTTGTTTTTTTGTTTTTTCTAGTTGTAAAGCGGCATTAAAATGTGTTTGCCTTTTATATTGTTGGGGAGCCAAATGCAAATTTGCTTTCTGCATAGTTTTTAACTTATACTTGTCCATGTCCTTTCCAATATGGTAAAGAGCGACCAATTCAATATACGTCGTGATCATAAATCCTAATTTGGATGTATTCTGGAAAAAAAAAAAATGAAAATTTTGGATCATAAATTTTCTTAGGTGCCATCCTTTTCACGTTTATTGAACATACAGGGCAAAAAAAAAAGACGCCCAAACTCATCCACAAAATAGAAAGAGATCAAACTAAAAGAAAAGTAGGAATCTGTAATATTCGACCTTGACCATTGTCGACCCGATGGGGCAGATGCAGTGCATCGAAGCTTATTATTTCAGTCGCAACTTACCTACGTTTATTTCAAGAAAAAAAAAAAACTTACTTACGTTTATAAAAGTTATATATATATATATATATATAAAGGATAAAATCATTTTAGTACGTGTTCTAGTGAAATATGTTTGTGGTATTTTACTTTTTGATAATATTAAAATGATATCTTAACATTTTTAAAAACATCATTTTGGTACTCTAAAGTTGAATTTGTAAGATGTAAAATGACTTTAATATTATTTTATTTAATTAATAAAAAACTAATAGATATATAGAAAAAAACCATGAGATTTTCTATTTTGTTGTTTTCTTTTAAATATTTTAGTGTTTTAAAATATTTTTAAATTTTTTAAAAGAATAATGATTTCTATTTAATTGATAGGAAAGGTAGTTTGGACATTATATGTTCTAAACTTAACTTCAAGATATTGAGAAGATATTTTTAAAAAGTCAAGGTACAATTTTAATATTATTAAAAATGCAGAATACTAAAAGCATATTTTGTTATAATACAGGGTACCAAAATGATTTTATCACTTTATATAAATTTCTAATTTAGTTCCCGAATTGTAATATACCTTATATAAATTTTTAATTTGGTTCCCCAATTATATACGAAGTTACGATTTGATCCCTTTTTATAAGAGAATAGGAACCATTTCTAACTTTGTATATAGTTGGGAACAAAATTAGCGATTTTCTTTTTTTTGTTTTAAGAATTTTGTGATATCTTAATCGTACTATCACAATTATATTAGATTAAGAAAAGTACACTCTACTAATTAAATACATTTTAAATATAGTTTAATGTAAATTTGAGAAAAAAATTTTCTTAGGGTTTATATTAAATTAGATAAATTAATGTAAATTTGATAAAAATATTCTTAGGGTTGAGAACTACGCCCTACTAATTAAACACTTTGTTTTCTTACTTTATTAATGTTTTTTTTGTTCTTGAAAATGCACACATTGAAAAGTAATTTTGAAGCTTAAAAATAAAGAGAAAATTTTCATCATTCAAGTGATTTGTAAAAGGATTGCTGGAGGAAAAGTGTAAATTGGAGAGCCATGCTTTTGCAGTGGTTGAAATGGTGCAAGGTCTTGTCAAAGAGAGAAAAAGAAGAACCTAATTAAATTTTGAAGAAGTATACTCACATATGTTTTGCCTAAATTGTCGAGATAATCTTTTGGTCCGAACATTTTGGTCTCGTTTATTTTACCAGTTCGAGTTTTCAGTTTTAAGTTTTTACGGTAAAAAGTTATCAGAAAATGTCACATCTAACTTTTTCTGCTACAGTGAAAAGTTCTCAGAAAATGTTACATCTCAGCTCGAATTGAAAACTCAAATCTGTGAAGTGAACGAGGCCTTTATTAACACCTTTTTATCCCGACTTTTATAGCATTTGATGTGAAATTAACAAAATTATTCTTTTCACAACTCAACTTTTATTATTATTATATTTTTTTGTTTACAAAAATTCAAATTTCACTTTATTATTATAGTATTATTTTTTTCACAAACACAACTCAAATTCTTAATAAACACCTTTAATCTACTTATTACATTGATCTTAACCCCTTATTGTACCAAGTCATTTTTATTGGTGGGTTTCTTACCGTTTCTTGAATTCCATGTTGATTAATTATCACCGTCTACCATTTTTGTTCACTAAATAAAGGTAAAAACATCATGTTAGACCCTAAAAGTAGTTGGGATCGTTTTTTTAATGCAAGTAGATGCATTTTCATCATTGAAAAGAAGCCGCCTTCTATTATTTGTCACGTGAAAAAATAAAACTAAATACTAAACAGTAAATACACTAAACAGATGGTCGTCCTAGGTGTATCCACGTTAATTTGTCAAAGTTGTGGTTTATTGTTTAAATCTTCAAGGAAACATTAATAAAACTCCCGCGTCCCATTTTCTCCAAATTTTAAGAATGTAATTGAATAAAACTTAGATAATGGTATGTGGGATTATTGCCTACTGTAGGGTTGTGCACTAAACCAACGAAAATAATCAAACCAATAAAATCAAATCAAATCCAAACTAAACTAAACCAATTAGCAATGGTTTTCTTTTGGTTTGAATTTATCAATAAAAAAACCAATTTAGTTGATTTGGTTTGTGTTGTATGTTCTATACATGTATGATGTATCAAAATATGATTAGATAATGTATTATATATTATTTTTAAACACTTTATGAGAAACTTGATTATACATATTTTTGTCTTGTAGATTTGTTTGTTTTATTTTTTTTTTTATGAATGATTAATTTTAGAATTTGAATGTTTTATTTCTGTTATAAATTGGAAACTAGCTAACTTCTTGAATTATGAAGGATTATGAATGAGAAATATACGAATATTTATCATAACAAAGTTGGTTCTAATGTGGTTGAGATGCAAGTTGATATATCGATAATAGTTCAAATCAATTCAAATACCAATCCAAATAAATCTAATTATAATTGATTTTGTTCGAATTTGATCTCTTAAATAGTTTGTTACAGTGTGAAAATCTCCAAACCAATCTACAGATGATTTTTTTTCCTACTTAACCTAACTTAAAATAAGTTGTTTTGTTTGGTTGCACACCCTTAACCTAAAATTAAAGTTGGGGAAAGATGATATTGTACATGACTAAAGGAAAGGTCATGAAAGAATGTTCTTTGTCGGCATAGCTGGAGTTTAAACCCAGCTAAGTTAAATCTATGGCCATATTCAACATCGACATTAATTTTCATCTTGACTCGAGTATTAAAGTTTTTATCCGAGTCTCATAACTTTCTAATGTTTAGAATGTTGAAAGTTCAGAGAGTAAATTGATACACAAGAACGCCAATAAAAGATATTTAAAAAAATATATATAAATGGTGATTTACACATATAACAAAATTTAAATATCAAAGTATAAATTTAGCAACAATTTTGAAATATTACAAGAATAATAAAATTTAAATCATTTTTATATCATTATAAGTACAAAACATGATATCATTATGATAATTATTGTGTCATTTTTGTTATATTTATAATATTTTAAAATTTTTTCTAATTTTCAATGTAAGGTGTGAAATCTTATAACATATCAACTAGTAATAAAAGTTGTCGTATCGACAACTCAAAATGGTAAAAAAGTTAAGATTGCAGTTGATATTTCTAGTCAGGAACAAAACCAATGAAAACTTAGGGGGGCGTAAGCTCCCTCAACTTTTGGTTTTTAAGTTCACTTATATATAGTCCCCTAAAAGATTAAAAAGCCCAACCCCGTTACGCGCATATATACACACTACTTTTTATATAGCCTCTAAAGAGTAGAAACTGCATTCCATTTCCTAAAAGATTATAACATTATTTTAAATTAAAATTCAACTAAAAGACATAACAATAGTCGTGCACTTATATAGCTCTTTTAACGACACGACGAATTAATTTCGGGGGTAAATATTAGCCCTCAAATAATAACTTCGGCCTCCGTCTCTCACATTACTACAAAATAAACAATAAAAAGAAAAAAGAAAAAAAAAAGAGATAGAGGAAAATAAGTCAAGAATTAAAATTAATAAGTTAATAGTTTACATAAGTTAATAAATAGGTTAAATTCCTATTTTCGTCTATAATTTGTTTGATTATGAATCATAATTTTATAAATTATTCACGATTTTTATCCATAACTTGTCTGACTATAAATTATAACTTAACAAATTTATCCATAACTTATTTAATTATGAACCATAATTTAACAAGTTATGGTCCATTATTTGAGCAGTTCCCTGCCTCGGAAAGAAACTCTTATAAAAAAGGGGCCAATGCGATGGTCTCATACGGTCTTACTACTCTTATTTGCACGCCCATCACTTGCCGATTATCATATTTTTTTCGGGTTAATTAGAACTTAAAACTAGCCACGGAACCTCCATTAATGGCGGCTTTAAGGAGCTTCCTCAGAAGAAAACCGGCCATCACTGCTTGTCGTGGTGATTCCATGTTGTTGAAGAAGCTCTTCTCCGCTCAAGCAGTCGTCGATTCTCCATCCTCTTTCACCCAACGCCTCAGAGATCTCCCCAAGGATCTTCCTGGAACTAGAATCAGAAAAGAAGTTTCTCAAGTAAATAATTCACCCCTCTCTCTCTCTCTCTCTCTCTCTCTCTCTCTCTCTCTCTCTCTATATATATATATATGTATGTATGTATGTATATTTGTTCGTGTTGATTCGATCTTTAGAAGTTCATTTAATGGCCTTAAGAATGATTCAATTGAAAAGACTGAAAATCCTTCCTTTTCTTCTATTGTTTGTCCAAAAGAAATTCTATACTCTGTAATAAGCAAAACAAAAACTTTTATCGATAGATTTTTTTATTGTTCGTGAAAAGTAAAACGCCTTTTTATTATTTATTTATACTGCTTGTTAAAAATGATAACTCTTCGGCAGGATTGGGAAGAGCATTAGGTGATGGTAAATACTGTTCACTAATAGAATATAGATCCTGTATGAGATCTACAAGGAGGTTAATTTTTTATTAATGATAGTGCTTAATACTTCTAAACATTTTTCGGATGGGAAAATAAAACCTAGTACACTGTTGTTTCCAACATGGATTATGCTCCGTTAATTTTGTATCAATTTTTATCTATTAGTAGATATTCTACCATAAAAAGTTTCTATTTAAAAAAAAAAGAAGAAAAATTCTATACTTGAATTTAGAGCACGAAAAAAATTATCCTTATAGTAGGTTATGTTTTGAATCGTTGGATGTATAGAATCTTTTAATTTTTAGAATCTCTTAATTTTTATACCTTTTTTATTTTGATGTGATTTTAACTAAAATGTAATATTTGCACTACCTATTAGTGTATCTGACTAAAAAAAAAAGAGCAAAGAGAGAAATGAGAACTCCACAGTTTATATTCGTATCAAAATTAATATATATATATATATATATATATATTTACTGTTCTAAGGGTCCAAGCATAATATTTAGAGGGTATTTTTTTTCATGTTTACTTATAAAATTCTCCAAAAAAGAAAAAGTTCTTTTTATACTATAAAGATTTTGGTAAGTTGTACTTGGGTTTGTGCAATTTTAGACTCAAGTTTTTATTAAATTTTGTTAAATTTAAGTATTTTTATAGTTCTACACTTAATGTGATTTTATGTTTCAGAACCATATACATAGTGTACATATCACATACATCTCTAAGATTTTTATTTTTTGAAAAGGTAAAAGAAGCATTTGTTTTTAATATGCTTCCTCTGAAAAACTTTCAAACGCTAACTTTTATTAACCCACAACGTTTATAATATATTCACTCATGTAAATCTTTTACTTACTCAATTTATGCATTTTCTAATGGATAGAGATCACCTTTGTTTATTTTGAAACACTCATTTTCAGCTCATTGGAAAAACTCCTATTGTCTATCTCAACAAAGTTACTGAAGGCTGTGGAGCTTATGTTGCTGTCAAGCAAGAGATGTTTCAGCCAACATCCAGCATCAAAGACAGGTATGCTATAATATACATATACACATATATATATATATATAATGCATATGTTTCTGTTCTTTGGAATCTTAAATGTAGCCTTGTAAAGGAGATAAAACAGAAAATTGAGTTTGTTTCTTGTTGTTTTTAGGCCAGCACTTGCTATGCTTAATGATGCAGAAAAGAAGAACTTAATTACTCCAGGAAAGGTTAGTTAAATGGCCTGTGTTTAGTTTATGTTTCAGGTTGAAGTCTCTGGTATGAACTAGCTTTCTATGTAAATGCTCAGACAACTCTGATAGAACCAACATCAGGAAATATGGGCATCAGTATGGCATTTATGGCAGCCATGAAAGGCTATAAGATGGTTCTAACCATGCCCTCGTACACGAGCCTGGAGCGGAGAGTGACGATGAGGGCATTCGGAGCTGACCTAATACTCACTGATCCCACCAAGGGAATGGGAGGAACTGTTAAGAAGGCGTACGACCTTTTGGAATCCACTCCCGATGCTTTTATGCTCCAACAATTCTCAAATCCTGCTAACACCCAGGTAATTAGAGAGTTTAGGTAGTTTAGGTTTGTGTCGACTTGCTTTAGCCTATGCATCTTGCTTGTTAATCCACCACTGTGATGAATCTCATTGAATAGTTCATTTGTGACTAACCAAAAACTTGGGGACAAGTAGGTGCATTTTGAGACCACAGGCCCTGAGATATGGGAGGATACTAATGGACAAGTCGACATCTTTGTAATGGGAATTGGCAGTGGAGGCACCGTCTCTGGGGTCGGACAGTATCTCAAATCTAAAAATCCTAATGTTAAGGTAACTTTGATATATGAAGAGTAGTGCTAAGGATCCCGACTTTTTATACCAACTTTTTGATACCAACTCCCATGGATGGTGAGTTGTTACAATTTTGTTGGTAGATTCAACATTTTTAACTTAATTGATGTGCAATGTTTTAAACACTCACAATAAAAGAACGATAAATCATACACTATGTCATTTGGTAATTAAAAGTTAGAAATTACTTGTTCTTTATAAATCCCAAAATCCTAAGAGATGTTGTTTTTTGGTCTACTATTTCATTTACTTAACATGCCTTATCTGATTTTTCCATGGCAGATTTATGGTGTAGAGCCTGCTGAGAGTAATGTACTCAATGGTGGTAAACCAGGTAAAGACATTCATGATTTTTTGTTTCTTTTTAGATCTCTTCATTCATAAGTTTTTCTTGTTAAATTCTGTTTTGGTCACCACAATTGCTAAAGTTCCTATATTTCTCCATTGGATCAGGTCCACACCATATTACTGGCAATGGGGTTGGATTTAAACCAGATATTTTGGACATGGACGTAATGGAAAAGGTTCTAGAGGCAAGTAATTATAAAAACAAAACACTATAAGGGTATTAATTTTGAAGTTCTGTATTTTACTGAACTGTCTTTTCAAAATCTTTCGTGCAGGTTAGTAGTGAAGATGCTGTCAACATGGCAAGGCAATTGGCACTTAAAGAGGGACTCATGGTAATTCCTCAAACAACTCTTTCAAATTATCCTCTTTGAACCAGATTGGCTTTAACTTATATGAACCAAAAAGTACTTTTAGCCCTGTAATATTGATCTCACACCTTGCTATTAACTTTTGCAGATTGGGATTTCATCCGGAGCCAATACTGTTGCCGCTCTTAGGCTCGCTAGAATGCCGGAGAACAAAGGCAAACTTATTGTGGTAAGAGAAAATCATCCCTCAAATCTGATTCATAGTGAGAATTAAGTGATCTTTTACTTTTTCTTGCTTCCTCTATTGCTTTTATCATCAATTTAGCATTGATGTGTCAATGCTAAAATTTGACATTTGATTGAAAAAAAAAAAACCCCTCCAATACAATATTATTATTTTAATGCTACATTTGGCAAATGGGTTACTTAGACCATCTCTAATGTAAATGCTAATGCCAATTGTATATTTAACATAAAAAAGTATGATATGATATGGTATGTTATTTTCATTTTTACTCTAATGCATAATGATATTTGAAATGATAAATCTACTTTTTTCTATAATTATTAAGCTTTGAAAGTTGTAAAAATAAACTTTTATTTTTAAAATAATTAAAAAATGCAAAAGCTGCATTAATTATATGGAAAAAGTAAACATTTCAACCAATAGTAATCAAATGCTAAATTTTTCATATGCTATACTTTGTGGTAAATTTCGCACAAAGTATAGCATATAGAAAATTTAGCACCACAAATAGCATTACATTAGAGAGTGTTTTTTGCACTCAAACGTTAAATTTATAATTGACACATTAATTATAGTATTGCATTGGAGATGCTTAGTAACAAATTTGCTATTAAGTATAGTAAATGCTAAATTTGACATTTAATTGCGATGGTTTATATATAAACTTTTTTCTACTTAATCATTATAACATTAGTCTTTCTAATATTTTAATACTAAAATTTACTTTTACAAGTTTAAAACTTATTAATTACAAAAAGTAGAATAACATACTTACATTATGCATTAGATTATAAAATAAAATAACACATCCAATACATAATTTTTCACTAAATAAAATAACACATCAAATACGTAATTTTTCACTTTTTAGTGATAATTATAGCATTGGTATTTGCATGGCAGATGATAATTATAGGGATCAACATTTTCTTTATCATGATTGGCATTTGCTTCAAGTTACTTTGAGCTTTATATAAGATAAGGATAAGTTATGCATATCTTGTATAAAACAAAATTTAGTTGGTCAAGATCCATTATTTTAAGACATTGTCTTGAGTTTATAATGTTTTGCAAACAATCTATTATGTATTAACCTTTTCGAATTATTTGAAACTTTCAGACTATTCACCCAAGTTTTGGAGAGCGATACTTATCATCCGTCCTGTTCCAAGAGCTGAGGAATGAGGCTGAAAACATGCAACCAGTTTCAGTTGACTGAGCAGCTGAGCTTCTTCCAAAATACAAAAGGGGTTTCTGTTGGTTCCCGAATCGAATTCGGGTGTGGAAGTGTGGCAGGGAGGCGGATCATGTATAACAAAAATTTTCATAAATTTTTTGAGATACTCTATAGATTATATTAATTTATGCACGAATAAATTAATCGCATTAATTTACATCAAGAACTCAATCCGGAAAAATACTTGGAAGCCGACTCGGATGATAACTTGAATTCTTTGTCCACGAACAGTCTTTGCTCCAATCTTTGTGTTTAGAATATCAAAGTCTTTCACGTCAATTTCTTGATTCCACGTAGACGTGTGTGTGGGCACATGTGAGACAAAACAGGTTTCTTAAACATTTGAATTTTCACAAACACCAATGCATGCACGATGTGAAATTTTTGGAGAAAAATATTTTTGCTCTCTTTTTTCCTTGAGAAATTCAGCCACCAAACAATTTAGGGCTGAATAATGCTTCTAAAAATTGGGTTCACAATTTTCTATCATTCTCATATTTAAAGAATAGAAGTTAAACTTCAAAACAGAATCAAATCCCTATCTCCAATTTTGAATTTGGAACAGAAAATTCCTTCCTATTATCCACAAGGTGGCCGGCCACACTTAGGGTTTTCTAACCTTGTGTATGTGGCGCCAATTCTGATAAGAAAGGAAGATAATTCATCATTTATCCTGTAGTCAAATTTTAATTCAAATTCAAATTCGAATTTAAGTCAAACTTAAATTAATTTGAATTCTAAATTGAACAACTTATCAAATAAGTTTAAATGGATAAATCTAGATGTGTTCAAATTCAAATTTAAATAATTACATTATTTAAATAATAATTAATTCTCAATTAATTATTTTTCGAGTATTCAATTTTAGAATTTCGTAATTCTAAAATTCTCATTTTGCCCTTTGTGTCTAGTAGAATTACAAGGACGACGCGGGGACATACGGACCTATAATCTCGAGCTTCAATAAAATTAATAATTAATTAAACACTTTAATTAATTAATTAATTCTATTAATTCTAATAGTTACTCCACTATAAACTTGGAATTGAACTCTCGAAATTACAGACATTAATTACTTCTAAACTGCGAAGTGTCCATTTGATATAGTCATTACATATAAATCAATCATCCATAAATAATTCATAATTAGAGTAAGGTAGAATCCGTTAACCTCTCTAATTATATCTTCATCCTTGAGTACCATTGATTCTCTAATGGATAGTGATTCATAAAACACATTCATGAACCAGAACGCTCTTACTAATCTAAGTACCGAATCAACACTCAAGAAAATTATTTATCTACTTCTTTCTCAAGAAGGAATGGATTCCATCTCGTATAATAACATTCCCAG